TCCCTGACCTGATCACAAGGGAAACTATCAAGTTGGTATCTTTCATTTTCATTCCGTTTTCCCTTTAAAACGAGGTCAGTGACTTACATGACCTCACCACCAGAGGGCGACAAAGCACCAAGACTGATTTAGATCAGGAGAAAAAACCTGAAGGAGTCTGGATAAATCTGAACAAGGAGGCTGAGATAAAACTGTATATATACTGTACTAACGACAATAATGATATTAATGATAATAAACTGCTCTCTCTGGCTGCTTAGTTTAGCTTTTGCAAATTTTTGTTTCAGAAGTTTTAAATTTTTTCTGGTTTCCGGTTCTGGTTGTTGGTTCTGGACTGGACCACACCAGTCTGGATTAGGCCATGTTGTTCTCTGGATTTAGCCGAGCCAATGTCACCTGAAGGCAGCAGTGAGACATTCAGGGCCTTACGAGAACAGTCACTTCCAGAAGCACAAACACCTCCAAATTGTACCTGAAGGCTTGGCTGTGCTGGTTGCTGGGAGACCAGAGGAAGTTTGAAGGTTAAACTAAAATCCATGACTCTGTCGGCCATTAAAGGTTTCCTCTGTGCCAAGTTCAAAACAAGCAGCAGGACGATGCGTTCACTGGCCACTGGTCCATTCGGTGGTGCATTCACTGGTCTGTGGCAGCATCATGGTTGGGTCAGATGGGCCGTCCCTCCCTCATAATGAAGGACTTTGAGCAACGATGAAGTTTGAGTTGCCATGGAGACCATATGATGGGAGCTCTGGTTCTGAACTGGTTGAATCTGGATCATTGATCCACTTTGCTTTGAATATACTGATTCAGCTGAACTGTTTCAGCTAGTTAGCATTAGCTGGGTTAGCATCAGCTTAATTAGCATTAGCTTGGTTAGCATTAGCTGGGTTAGCATTAGCTTCAGATTAATCTTTTTGCTTCTTGTTAAATGATTTCATATTATTTCTGAAGTTCAGGTGAAAATGAGAAAATCACCAACATATAATCAGCTAATATTACCAATATTTCCTGATTTGGGTTATAAACATAATTTCCTGTTATGATATTCAGTGTTTCCTGTTCTGGTTGTAAAATCACCAATTGGAGGAAATGGAGACATTTATTAATATTTATAGATCAGTTATTGGGTCCAGTAGGATGATTTCTATCATATCTGAACAGTTATTGATCAGAAGACGTCTTGTCCTCACAGTCTGCCTCCGTCTCTCTGTCCGTCCTCAGATCACTCCATGGCGGCCAAGGCAGGCGGCTGTTTCCCTGGAAACGCCTCGGTGATGTTGGAGGGCGGCACCCGGAGGTCCATGAGAGCGCTGCAGCCCGGGGACCGGGTCCTGGCCTTGGTGAACAGCGGCCTGGTCTTCAGCGAGGTCATGACCTTCCTGGACCGGGACCCGGACACGCCGCGGCTCTTTGTTAGCCTGCAGACTGCGGCCGGGCAACGACTCGCCCTCACTGCCGCCCACCTGCTGTTCTTGTCAGGTAGGAACTGCTCCGAGGGTGCGGCGCCGGCGGCCAGCCAGCTGCGGGCCGCCTATGCCGGCGCCGCCCGGCCCGGCCAGTGCGTCCTGGTGGAGGCCGGCGGGGCAGCGCGTCTGTCCCGGATCGTCGGGGTCAGTGTGACAACGAGCCGGGGGGCGTTCGCCCCGCTGACCCGGCAGGGAACCATCATGGTGGACGGCGTGGCAGCATCCTGCTACGCGGCGGTGGACGGCCACCGGCTGGCCCACCAGGCCTTCGCCCCGCTCCGCCTCCTGCACCGCTGGACTGGGAGCGCTGGGCACCACGGCAACAGCCTGCACTGGTACTCACGGATCTTACTCTGGCTGGGCCGGGCGATTCTGGACCCGGGGCGCCTCCATCCGCTGGGCATCGCTCAGGGCGACATGTGAGAGAAAAGAAACAAACTGGTGGTTCACAAACCGGCATCAGACCGAGACGGACTTCGTGCTGGACTGGCATCAAACATGAAGTACCACCAGCAAACAGGAAGTACCAGCAACAAACAGGAAATACCAACAACAAACAAGAAGTTCCAGCAACAAACAGGAAGTACCAGGAACAAATAGGAAGTAAGAGGAACTTTTTCTGGAGCGGCAGACATTAAACGCACTGTGAAGCAGAAATCCAGATGTAACCGTTGTCCTGACCAGATTGTCTCCATAAATTCGTTATGATAAGTCGTCCCAGGAGTTATTGCGATAAATGATAATATTGTTACTTTCAGATAATTTTTCAGTCATTTATTGATAACGGCATCATAACGCATGTTCGCCCTCTAAAGGACTAACACTCAAATTATGTAAAGAAGAGTTAACTCTAGAACTAAAAAATATTCTGAACATCCAACATTAAACAGAAATAAAAACCACAAACAACTGAAACCAGAAATAAAATTCATTATTCATAATCTTCAATCTAAATTTACCTTCACAAGATATTATTCATTAGAATTGAAATTATGGAGTTCATTTAAATTTATCAGGCGATTTTTTATGACACGCTGTCATACAATCAGTCAGATGCTTTTTGAGTTGCGTTGTAACACAGACTGCTACAGGAGCGACCGGGCTGGCTATAGAAACCAGGATGAGTTCCAACGTTTCATTTTCTTCTGGGATCAACAAAGTTTTTTAATTATGAAGTGATTCATTATTTAAACACAAGAATTATTTATGTTTGTGTATATTGTGTAAATTAGCTAAACCAGTATTAGCTGGTATGATCCTGGCCACCAGGTGGCAGCAAAATGATTCAATTGTCCCGTTTTAATCCACATTAAGATACTTTATTTTAACCCACACAGGGTTTAGAGTTTCAAACATCACAGGTTAACTCCAGATTAACTCCAGATTAAGTACCTGCTTAATTTAAAGTAAAACCTAATTTGACCTGAACACAATATTGTATTTTAACTTCGATCAGATCAATTTAAAATCAAATTATTTTTCATAGCTGAAACAGATTTGGAGTCATTAAATTTTTTTTAGAGTAAATTAATGGAAAAATTATTTTTACTAGAAATAAACCAACAACCTGAAAAAAGATTCATTAAATTCTGTTTTTAAAAATTAATTTCTAATTTTCATTCATTGTATCAGAACTTAAGTCACTTTCAAGCAAATAAACAGAATATATTAATATTTAAAGCTAATTTATAAAACAGATGATTTAATGAATTCAGAAGGATTTTGATTCATGGTGAGAAGTTTGTAAATATTTACCCCATGTTAGGAAAAACATTTACATTAAAATCCCTTCATGTAATATTATTATTATTGTTGTTGTTGTTGTTGTTGTTGTTGTTGTTGTTATTATTTTTGTTAGAGAAAATATTTATTTTTTTTAATTAAATTGTGGAAATGAGTTGTGTTGTTGTGTTTATATATCTGTGGAAACAAAACCAGTAAAAGTCAACAGATAAACTGTTGATGATGTTGATGATATTAAAGATGATGATGAGGAGGAGGAGGAGGAGGGCCCGGTCCAGCCCATATGGGGCCCACTGATCCTTATCAACAGTGAAACAGAATATGGGATTCCGTTCTGATGAATCAGAAACTTTAAAATCATTAAAACTAGAAAATCCTGATCTGAAATCCAGTCCATGTTTTCATCCTGATCTGAAATCCAGTCCATGTTTTCATCCTGATCTGAAATCCAGTCCATGTTTTACAGATTTAATTTTCTTGTGTGATTCAGATCTGAATCATCTGAAGGAAACGCAGTGTGGGAAGCAGAAATACCTTGGAGCAATGCTACCAGGCACTCTATCGCTAGCATTAGCGATAGAGTGCCTGGTAACAATAGCCTGCTACCAGGCGATAGCATTAGCAAGCAGCTAGTGTTAGCAAAGGAGCTAGCATTAGCAAAGCAGTTGGTGTTAGCAAAGCAGCTAATCCAGAAGCACCATTCTGTCCACTGACTGGCTCTTGATGCTAGCCTGTTTTCAGTATTAATGCATATTCAGGAACATCTGGTGTTTTAACAGCTATTGCTAGCAGTGGTTAGCATTCAGAGGAAGAATATCTGGTGTTTGAACAGCTAATGCTAGCAGCTGTTAGCATTCAGAGGAAGTTTGAGGAGCCTTTGGGGTTTGCGGCGTTTCTGTCCTGAATTGAGCTGCTAAAGATTCTGATGATGCTAAGCTACGCAGCCTCTCCATCAGCTCCTACTTATAGAGTGAAACTCACGTAACATCTGCTTATAGATCGGACCCCTGCTGACCCGCAGCGGCCCAGAATGCAACAGGTGTCGGCTAATAATAAAGACACTCTGCGCCTTTAAGAGGCTGATGGCTCAGACTAATATCTGCTGAACTTTGAGGTGATTAAGGAGGAGAGTTTGGAACCTGCTGCCTCTCTCTCTTTTACACACACGGACACACACACACACACACACACACACACACACACACACACACACACACACACACACACACACCCAGGTCGGATTAAATTACGCCCTGCGCCTTTAAGAAGCAGTCAGGAGGATTAGAGTTACTGTCCGAGTCGCGCACCGCAGCGCTTTTGCCGCAGAGAGCAGCGCCGTTTGTCCGCTGGTTCTCCTGCGTGGATCGGGTCCACTCCACGCTGCGACATGGCCGAGCTGGGGAAGGGCGTAACGGCCGGGAAGCTGGCCCTGAACGTCCAGAAGAGGCTGAACCGGGCCCAAGAGAAGGTAGGAGGCGACCCGGGGTCAGGGAGACACTGGATCCCCGGTCCGGTCCGGTTCGATTCGGTCAGACTACAGCTGGGTCTGAGGCGGAACCAGGACCAGAACCAGAACCAGGGTCCATGATGGGAACATTTTGGGTTCATCTAAGATTAAAAGTTTATTTCTGATGAAATTTTAAATATTTTAAATAAAGTTTTATCTGTTGAAACCGAAATGTTTCAGATTAAAAGCTTCTTAATAAAATACATCAAATTATTCCATCCATCAACGTTCCAACACTAATGTGTGAAACATGGTGTTGGCAGCATCATGCTGTGGGGAAGATGGATGAGGAAAAGCTGCAGCAGATTCATGGCATGGAATAGCCTAGTCAAAGCCCAGATGGTGAGATTAAAGTGGGATGTTTTCTGACTCTTTCCAGCGTTTGAGGGATGAAAACGATTTGGTTCATTTTGGCGCGGCGTGGCGCGATGCGATGTGATGCGATACAGTGGCTCAGGTGGAAAATGTTTGGAGACTGAGATCAGCTGAGCCTCATCTGGGAAAACAGCCTAGTCAAAGTCAGTGAATACTGAGTTTCTACTATTCAGGTTGCTATGGAGATCCAACCAGGTCAGAGGTCAACAGAGCTGAACGCCGCAGCATCACATCAGAGATAACCAATAATCTACCAATTAATCGATTATCTGATGATTAACTTTCTGCAGATTTTTAAACATTTTTATAATTTTACAAATTAATAAAAATAAACAGGAACAGTTTTACTTTCTGATGAATCTGTGGATGGTTATTGATTATTGATTAGATGATCGATAACCGGATGGGATCAATAGCAGATATTAGCAGAAGCTAAAGCTAGCAGAGCTCTGCTGAACAGATTTATTGATTTGCTCCAGTTAATAATCAATTATGAACCGGTTGTTTAATAATCTATAAATGTTTCCTCTGCGGTTCTGATGGTTCTGATTCGTCTGAACATCAGCAGGTTGATGACCTACCAGGGGGCGCCGTACCGACCAGCTCTTCCTCCTCCTGCTCCTCTTTCTCACTCAGCAGGAATAATAATCTGAATTTTTCTCCGTTTTATGATTTTTAAGGTGAATTTTAGAAACTCTTAATTCTGTCATTATATTTACGTTTTTAAAATGTTGAAATTTTTTAACGACGTTTAAATAAATAAGAAAAGTTTAGTTTCCTTTTGACACAATTCTCAACATATTTTCAGTTTTTATGACAAAATGAACTTTGAGTCTTTTCTTAAAAATGATTTTAGCTCTGAAACTTCAGCAGCATAAAGAGGAATCTAAGCATTATTTTATAAATGTAATAAAACATTCATGTCAATATTAATAAACTGTAATAATAATAATAATAATAATAATAATAATAATAATAATGAAATCATTTTGTTTCATTACCACTGAAAATGTTCTCTGGCTGCTAGCTTACCATCAATGCTAAAGAAGCGGAAAGTTTAGTGGAAGGAAAATTTTTCTCTTAAACTCTGGCCTGATTTCTGAAACATGAAGCTAATACTAACTGATCTGTGGATTAAGATCATCTAAAATTATTCCAGATTATTTCAATCCTTCTGGATTAAAACATTTTCAACATTTTATCGTTTTTTTAATCAACATTTTCACTTTAATTCAATTAATTCAAATTAGAGACATTAAATATGAACAGGTTCATGTTTAGATAAGATCAATAAGATCAATGAGTCAAAAGTTTTAATAAATTAAACTACAGAGGAAACAGTTATGATTCTGGTCTGGGAGCTGAAAGCAACAGGCTTCACTTGTCATTCACTTTTTAAAAAGAAAGTTTACAGGATTGTGAATGAAGGAAATACTGCTTAGCATTAGCGTTAGCTTCTGGTTCTTGGACTGAAGCTGTTTTTTCATGCTGAACTTGAACTAGATGGCGGGAATGAGACATTTAAACCTGAACTGTTCCCAGACTGAACTCGGTTCTTAAAGCTGCGGTTTTCCCTCATGGTGAGCTCCTGCTGACTGCTGTGCAGCCACATTCAGGCTGGTGACCTTTGAACTCTTTTAGATTGATCTCCAGATTTCAGATTTTCCTTTCAGCTGATCGTTGTAAACGTTATTAGTTATTGATTGGTAAATGGAGCGGCTCTGAGCAGAGAAGCTGCCCTCACATGGACGCCGTCCTGCAGCTGTCCTGCCCCTCGCCGGGTGGGGCAGCTATATTTACCCCTTAATGCCCCGGCCTGCCTGTAAATATCCCGGGGATATTTGTGGGGTGAAACCTGACCTGGGGCAGATGCCGGTTTGTTCTCCCGTCTTTGTGGAAACAGGAAATGGAGATTCAGGTCTGACCTGACGAGCAGCAGGCCTCACCTGAGTGGAGGGGTCAAAGGTCGTCCTCCTGTCCCTCTGTCCCCGGGCGTCCAGCGGAGGGACGTCCCGCCGTCCCCAGCGGATTGTGGCGCCAGCTGGTGGAGGCCATCCATGTGCAAACACTCAGGCATCTGACGGGATTATCCGCTGAGCCCGTTGCCACGGCGACGGCACAGCAACACGTCGAGGCGTCGGCCTCGCTGTGACCCGACGGGGGGGGGAGAGAGAGAGAGAGAGAGAGAGAGAGAGAGAGACAGAAAACCAGTTAGGACTCAGAAAAATGAAATATTTTGACTAAAATCCAAAAACTTTTGATCATAAGATAAACTCGTTTAAAATAGAAATAAATGCTTCAATAAAAAAGATTATAAATAAACAAACAAACTACAGAGGTGGAAAAGAAACCATCCTGACATAAAACATTTCATTATTAAATATTGATTAAAAGTTCAATTTCTGCGTTTTTATTCGATTGAATTTCTCACCTGTGACAAAACGCTGCACTCTGATTGGTCCAGGGCTGATTCCTGTTCCTCCCTAAAAGAAACAAACAAATAATAGTTTTAACTTACTATTTAATATTTAATCTGTTTGTTTCATTTTGTTCCATAAACACTAAAAAGTCACTTTATCTTTAAACTTTCAGTAAAACAGAAACTGGATCAAATAAAACAAGTGAAGCTGAAACGAGGTGACCTTTGACCTGTGAATGCCTGATGTCACCTTCACTTCTGGTTGTTTCCTGCCTGGGTGGCCATTTTGGATTCCTCCATCTTGTTTTGCTAGCTGCGTAGCTTAGCATCATGTTTCTGGTCAGCCTCTGTTGGAGTCGATTTTATTTATTTTATTTTATTTATTGTTGTAGGTTTCAGTCTCTAGTTCAGGATTCATTGGTTCCTATTTTAAATATTTAGCCTCCAGTCGATCTGAAACTTTTACAAACTAAAGACATTTTTATTTTCACTTCAGATTAATAAAACTCAAAGTTTTCATGAAAAAATAAAATGCTTCTGAGAAATATCTTCCATAAAATCACAGTTTGTTGGTCAGTTGCTCAGTGTCTCAGTGACTCAGTGTCTCCCCCTGCAGGTCCTACAGAAGCTCGGTAAAGCTGATGAGACGCGGGACTCCGCCTTCGAGGAGCTGGTGGCTAACTTCAACAAGCAGATGGTGAGCAGCAGCTAACGATAATGCTAACACTAACGCTAGCCCAGCCCTTCCTCCTGCTCCTCTTCCTCACTACCTCTGCTTTCCGTTTCAGACAGAGGGCAGCAAGGTGCAGCGAGACCTGAAGGCCTACCTGGCAGCGGTCAAAGGTCAGTGTGAAGGAGCCAATCAGACTCAGCAGCCAATCAGACTCAGCAGCCAATCAGACGCAGCTTTGCTTTGCATGACGGTTCCTGTGTCTGTTCTAGCGATGCACGAGGCGTCGCGGCGGCTGCAGGACTGTCTGGCTGACATGTATGAACCCGACTGGTTTGGAAAGGAGGAGCTGGATGCTCTAGTGGAGGTGAGACACCTGCTGAGGTTCCCGGCCGTCCTGCATGTCCCTGTGTGTCCCAACGTGTCCCTGCATGTCCCTGTAGCGTCTCTCCTGCAGTTTCTTCTTCTGCTGTTGATTCTCTGTCTCCTCTAACTGCATGCTGCTCTTCTGCTCTGCCTGAAGGAGATGATAGAGAAGGAGCTGGACAACAACCTGGAGGTACTAACTTCCTGCTGTTTGCTGCTGTTTCCTGTTTCTGAGCTCAAACTGTAGCAGGACTGAGAGACGGAACCGCGTCCAGATTAGACCACCATCATCATCATCATCATTATGTTTTCACTGAGCCAGACCCGAACCATGACACTGACAGGACCAACACTACGACATGAAACACCACAAACGACAGCAGAGGCTCACACAGAAACGTCCCGGCAGAGAGAAAAGGTTTTCCTCAGAATGTCTTCATCAACCTGTTGTCTCCTCCAGGACACGGACACGCTGTGGTTGGACTACCACCAGAACCTGACGGACAAATCCCTGCTGGGCCTCGACACGTACCTGGCCCAGTTCCCAGAGATCAAGGTGAGTCTGGAGATCCGCAGGAAGTGACAGAAAGATACAGGAAGAAAAATACAGGAAGTGAGAAAGTGACAACATGGGGCAACATGGGTGCCTAGTTGCTGAAG